CCAAGTATGACATCAGATGTAGTTGACATCTGATGTACCTGAGGTAACATCAGATGTACCTGAGGTATGACATCAGATGTAGTTGAAGTAGGACATCTGATGTACTCGAAGTATGACATCAGATGTAGTTGAAGTAGGACATCTGATGTACTCGAAGTATGACATCAGATGTAGTTGACATCTGATGTACCTGAGGTATGACAGCGGATGTAGCTGAAGTAGGACATCTGATGTAGCTTAGGTATGACATCAGATGTGGTTGAAGTAGGACATCTGATGTACTCGAAGTATGACATCAGATGTAGTTGACATCTGATGTACCTGAGGTATGACAGCAGATGTAGCTGAAGTAGGACATCTGATGTACCTTAGGTATGACATCAGATGTAGTTGACATCTGATGTACCTGAGGTATGACAGCAGATGTAGCTGAAGTAGGACATCTGATGTAGCTTAGGTATGACATCAGATGTGGTTGAAGTAGGACATCTGATGTACTCGAAGTATGACATCAGATGTAGTTGACATCTGATGTACCTGAGGTATGACAGCAGATGTAGCTGAAGTAGGACATCTGATGTACCTTAGGTATGACATCAGATGTAGTTGAAGTAGGACATCTGATGTAGCTTAGGTATGACATCAGATGTGGTTGAAGTAGGACATCTGATGTACTCGAAGTATGACATCAGATGTAGTTGACATCTGATGTACCTGAGGTATGACAGCAGATGTAGCTGAAGTAGGACATCTGATGTACCTTAGGTATGACATTAGATGTAGTTGAAGTAGGACATCTGATGTACTCGAAGTATGACATCAGATGTAGTTGACATCTGATGTACCTGAGGTATGACATCAGATGTAGCTGAAGTAGGACATCTGATGTACCTTAGGTATGACATCAGATGTAGTTGAAGTAGGACATCTGATGTACTCGAAGTATGACATCAGATGTAGTTGACATCTGATGTACCTGAGGTATGACATCAGATGTAGCTGAAGCATGACATCTGATGTACCTGAGGTATGACATCAGATGTAGTTAAAGCAGGACATCTGATGTACTCGAAGTATGACATCAGATGTAGTTGATATCTGATGTACCTGAGGTATGACATCAGATGTAGCTGAAGCATGACATCTGAATGGCCTAGTCGATCATATGTCGAATATCCTCTTTGGTTATCTGAACCATGTGAGGTGGAGCTGGTTGATGAGGGTCTTGCTGAAGGTTTCGAAGTGGATCTGGGGCGCGACCTCAAGTGTCATTTTGAAGATAGCCTTGAGGATCATCACGAGGGGGTCTAGAAGGGGATCTCGGTCACGACGTCAGGTGACGTCCTGAGACATGTTAAACCTGAACCTGCACGTGGCAAGTTGGTTGTTGTTCTGAGGTTGTGCTATGGGTGGAGCCACAGGAGGAGCGTTGGTTTCCGTTGTGGCGATGCGTTGTGCTACTGCTTCAGTAGCAACGCGGGAAGATGCTTCTGTAATCATAAGTTGAAGGGCCTCCTCGGTTATCTGAACCGTTAGAGGAGCAAGTAGAAGTTGATGACCCATGGCGAATGAATCTTTTGGGGGCACTGTGACCCCCAGGGAGTCGATAACTATACTGATAATACTCAATATTCAATCCGCGGCTGCCTGCCGTCTGCCGGCTTTTCCCCCTTTCCTTTTCTTTTT